GGCGCGTGCGATGTCTTCACATCCCCCCAATGATTCGGCATCTGCCTTCGGCCTTCGGCACCATTGCATCATTCGGCGCGTGCGATGTCTTCACATCCCCCCAATGATTCGGCATCTGCCTTTGGCCTTCGGCACCCATCATCATTCGGCGCGTGTGATGTCTTCACATCCCCCAATGATTCAGCCTTCGGCATCGGCCATCAGCCTTCGGCCTTCGGCATAAGCCATCAGCTTCGGCATAAGCCATCAGCTTCGGCGCCATCAGCTTCGCCCATCAACTTCAGCCTTCGGCCATCAGCCTTCAGCCATCAGCTTCAGCCATCAGCCTTCGACCATCAGCTTCGGCCATCAGCTTCAGCCTTCGGCATCTGCCTTCAGCCTTCGGCATCTGCCTTCAGCCTTCGGCCATCAGCCTTCGGTCATCAGCTTCGGCCATCAGCTTCAGCCTTCGGCCATCAACTTCGGCCATCAGCCTTCTGCCATCAGCCTTCGGCCATCAGCATCAGCCTTCAGCCATGCCGAACGGCACCCTCTAGGAGACACTTCTCCAGCTCCTTTTCTCAAAGCCATGCCGAACGGCACCTTCTAGGAGACACTTCTCCAGCGCCTTTTCTCAAAGCCATGCCGAGCGGCACCTTCTAGGAGACACTTCTCCAGCGCCTTTTCTCAAAGCCATGCCGAGCGGCACCTTCTAGGAGACACTTCTCCAGCGCCTTTTCTCAAAGCCATGCCGAGCGGCACCTTCTAGGAGACACTTCTCCAGCGCCTTTTCTCAAAGCCATGCCGAGCGGCACCTTCTAGGAGACACTTCTCCAGCGCCTTTTCTCAAAGCCATGCCGAGCGGCACCTTCTAGGAGACACTTCTCCAGCGCCTTTTCTCAAAGCCATGCCGAGCGGCACCTTCTAGGAGACACTTCTCCAGCGCCTTTTCTCAAAGCCATGCCGAGCGGCACCTTCTAGGAGACACTTCTCCAGCGCCTTTTCTCAAAGCCATGCCGAGCGGCACCTTCTAGGAGACACTTCTCCAGCGCCTTTTCTCAAAGCCATGCCGAGCGGCACCTTCTAGGAGACACTTCTCCAGCGCCTTTTCTCAAAGCCATGCCGAGCGGCACCTTCTAGGAGACACTTCTCCAGCGCCTTTTCTCAAAGCCATGTCGAACGGCACCTTCCAGGAGACACTTCTCCCTGACGGCGCCATCAGCCTTCGGCGCCATCAGCCTTCGGCCATCAGCTTCGGCCATTAGCTTCAGCCATCAGCTTCAGCCATCAGCCTGCTGAAGAATGAGCTGAAGCAATGCTTGGCCAGTGCATTAATAACTACAAGTCCCCAATCAAGAAGTAACTCCTTAATCGGGAACTTGGGGGACTCCTGTTTGTACAATATCTGGCCAAGCATTTCCAAGCTAATCCAAGCAAAGGGAAGGGAGTCCCACATTGACAAAACACAAGAGAAGGGGACTCTCCCTTCCCTATAAAAGAAGACCCCTCTCCTTCAAAAGAGGGGGAGAAAGAAAGAGGTTGGGCAGGCTACTAGGGCCTCATGGGCTTACCCATGAGCCCATTTACAAGCCCACGAATCATCGGCCATCAGCCAGATCATCTGTCTTCGGCCATCAGCCAGATCATCTGTCTTCGGCCATCAGCCTTCGGCATCTGCCCTCAGCCTTCGGCATCTGCCTTCGGCCTTCGGTATTCTTCCTCTTCCCCTTGGGTCTAACCCTATGTACAATGTATACACACATTATTATAATGAGAACATACTTCTCTGTGGACGTAGCCCATCATTCGGATGAACCACGTACATTTGTCTTCTGTATGCATGTCCATTTATTTACCGATTGCTCTTACATACTGAGGGTCCTCACCCTCAACATCCACCTCATCTTTAAGTTGGCCTACATACTACCTGTCTAGTTTTAGCTCAAACCAGATTGGCGCCGTCTGTGGGAAACGACACAAAACGCTATGTCGTTCTCCTTCACGAGTGCAAACAGATTGGCGCAAACAGATTGGCGCCATCAGGTAATGGGACGATCCCTTCTGCCGCAATTGCAAAAATTGCATGTACCAAAGGTTGACATACTTAGAGATGGAAAACAATAGCTTGACTGGAAGGATTCCTCCTGAATTGGGTTCTTGCCAGAGTTTGGCACTGTTGGATTTGGCTCAGAATCAGCTGTCTGGGGCTTTGCCAGTGGAGTTGGGTAACCTTAGCCATCTTCAAGTCTTGAAACTTCAATTTAACAAGTTGGCTGGTGAAATCCCAATTGAAATTACTCAATTGTCGAAGTTGTGGATTCTAAATATCAGCTGGAATTCTCTGAATGGTCCGATACCACCTTCGGTTGCAAGCTTGAAGAATCTCATTAACATGAATTTACAAGGCAACAATCTCAGTGGTTCGATACCGGAAAATATTGGCTCCCTGGCTTCTCTGTCGGAACTCCAACTTGGAGAAAATCACTTGAGTGGTGGTGACATTCCAAGAATGCCAACTACTTTGCAGATTGCTTTGAATCTCAGCAGCAATCTTTTTGAAGAATATATTCCGGTAAATCTTGCCAATCTCACGTTATTAGAAATTCTGGATCTCTCAAATAACAAATTCTCAGGTGAGATACCCGCATTTTTTGGGCAGTTGGGAACCTTGACGCAGTTGATACTTTCCAACAATCAGCTCTCTGGAGAAATTCCAAAATTTGGTTCTTGGGTCTTCGTCAACACAACTGGAAATGAGGGTTTGACTAATTCTACGACAACAAGCACGTCACCGGAATCGAAAAAGAAAAGAAAACCAATTGCACTGCCAATTGTTCTTGCAGTTTTTTTTTTTCTTTTTTGTAGCAGCTGTTTTTGCTGGTGGATGGATCACCATCATTGGTAAAAAAAGTAGAATTTGTATAGTTTGGGAGGTCGAAAATTTGTGGTAATTATGAAATAATCTTTTATTCATGTGTTCTTTAAGGGCAAATAGTAATTTTTCATACTTTTTAAATGCAAAATAGTATGACTTCATATCAGATATTTGAATAACGAAGTATTACATGGTTCCTATAGCATTAAACATTTACTGCTGCTCACAAAATTTGTTACCAAAAAAGGTGCCAGTGTTTCGTTTATTCAAATGGTAAATGATTTTTTCACTTCCCTTTTATCCACCTACATTCATTTTTGTTTTAAAAAACAGAATGTAAGTGGATAAAAAGAAAGTGGGAAAATCAGTACCTATTCAAATTTGGAATTATAGATAACAAACGAGAAGTGCTAGTTACCTTTCCCTCGTTGCCTTTCTCTTTTTTATCTTCTCCATTCATTTTGTACCTGTGAAGGAAAGTAGCTAGTATTTCTAAACGACCTGATAGGCTGACATGTGTACTAAAACATCATTTGGGGAAGAAATGGACCCACTCAGACTTTTGTTTAGTCTCAGCTCTCAGTCCTCATCTTCTTAGGGCACTTCCAGCAGTCAAACCCTTGCCATGGCAAGGGGGGGCTATGGCTGACACTATTCACGTAAATAGTGTCTGCCCTTGCAAAAAGTAAGTTGTACTTCCAGCAGTTGCCATGGCAAAGGGCAAGCACTATTCAATTTTTTATTTTTTTCACAAATTTGTTTACCTAAACAATTAATTTGGACAATATTTTCGGATGAGATTTTGTGATAAAATATTCGAATAAGATTTCAAATTTTAAATTTCATTTGAATTTCACATTTCAGATAAATTTCATCTGAATTTCAAATTTCGGATAAGATTTTCACCCTATAAAATTACACCACGTGTCATGTCTATCAACCTAAATTTTTCTATAAAACTAAGGCTCAGCTCACAAACCTCTCACACTACATCTTCTCAAAAATTTCTTTTCTCAGATTTTAGATTTCAGATTCCATATTCCATTCTCAATGGCAGACATGGAGGAGGTCTTGGAGAGGCAAGAACGAGAAATAAGAGAAAGAAGGCGTAGACGAGCTGCAAGCAAAAGAATGCAGAGAGAACTAGATCAGCAAATTTTGACATGGAGGAGGTCTTGGAGAGGCAAGAGCGAGAAATAAGAGAAAGAAGGCGTAGACGAGCTGCAAGCAAAAGAGCCCAGAGAGATCTAGATCAGCAACTTGTCATGGCTGTGGCTTTGCTTGATGAAGAAAACCAGAGCAGTCGTGGTTCACATGAAGGCCGTGCAGCAAATGTTGACAGACATAGGCATTCTCGGGGTAAGAATCTTATGGAAGATTATTTTATCCCAACATCTCTGTACTCTGATGTTCATTTTCGAGGGCGATATAGAATGCAACAACATTTATTCTATAAAGTCATGCATGATATTTGCAATTATGATGAATATTTTGTTCAAAAGAGAAATTGTGCTGGTGTTTTGGGACTGCTTCCCGAACAAAAGTTCACAGCTATTGTACGAATGTTGGCATATGGTGCATCTGCTGATCAGGTGGATGAAATTGCCCGGATGGGGAAG